ATTATGTCAAGCTTTTCTTGTGCTTTTTTTTTTTCTTATTTGGCAGATGCTGTGATGACCAACTTCCCGGCAGCAACAGAGTTGGACTTGAGGAATGCAGTTGGGAAGCATTTTAAACAAGAAATAAAACCAATAATTAATAATTTCCTTTAAGTTCACTGTTGGTTGTTTTATTTGTTAAAAGTAAACCAACAAAAGGGTTAATCTTTTTTTTATGTTGTCATTTATCCTAATGTTTTCAGGTTAAGTGTCATAACATGCTCTTGATTTGTGTTAGATTTTTTTTCTTTTAAATATCTTAAGTTATTTAAAATATTTTATTTTTTCATTTTTATATTTTTATCATAAGTTGTTAAAAATTCCAGATTTTTTTATCATAATATTTATATTTAAGTGTATTGTATTTATAGAATTTTATTTTGTCATTAATTCTTTTGTATTTTTATCCTTTTTTATTGTCCAAGTTTTATTGTTAAAGTGAAATAAGTTGTCCAAGTTGTTAAAAATGTTATTTTTCTTAATAAAAGCTATATATTGAATTTGTTTGGATGGATTGCCATTTTGTTGTATATTAGTCACATGTAGTCGTTTAATAGCGGTCTAATTGATGACTAGTCTATTCTTTTTTATCCTTTTTTATTGTCCAAGTTTTATTGTTAAAGTGAAATAAGTTGTCCAAGTTGTTAAAAATGTTATTTTTCTTAATAAAAGCTATATATTGAATTTGTTTGGATGGATTGCCATTTTGTTGTCTATTAGTCGCATGTAGTCGTTTAATAGCGGTCTAATTGATGACTAGTCTATTCTATTAGTCTATTAAATTTTCACTGACAGCCCAAATTTAGCCTTGTTTTTAGCCTAGACCCATATTCACCATCTATTAGACGTATATATATAGTCGTTTAATAGCGGTCTAATTGATGACTAGTCTATTCTTGGGCTATGGTTAGACGTCTATTAAATTTTCACTGACAGCCCAAATTCAGCCTTGTTTTCGTTC